TTTTCCTGGAGTCCAAGCGCGGCGTCTTCCACTAGTCTGGCCACTTGCAATTCGGAGTCGTGATTTCTCATGAAACCGAATTGTTCGTGGGGGATTCCGCTGTTATAGGAGATTTTATCCAAGAGTCTTTCTTTGAAGAAATTCTCCGTAAGTTTCGAGAAGGTGGGCAGAAGGCTAATTGGGCGCCAGTTTTGGGGGAAGATTTTGTTTTTTCCTGGCTTTGGGATGAGAGCTATAGCAGCTGTTTTCCAGCTGCTAGGAAACTCACGGAGTGCAAAGGCACTATTTATCAAGGTTAGGAGGTTTTGTAGGATGTTTTCTGGGACCATTTTAATCACCCTGTTTGAGATTTTGTCAATGTCTGGAGCGGTTTTGGTGTTTAGCAGATGTATTTGGGATTTTGGTTCGTCGATTGTAACTGGGGGGATAGTTTCGTCCGTTTCGGTGATGGTCTTGATAGTTACGTCTTGGTAATGGTTCTCGACTTCTTCTTCGAAGTCGGGATCATTTCCTAGTGAGTAGTCGACTCTGAACTGATTTTCCAGCGAGTCGGCGAAAGCTTCCGCTTTTCCTTCATCGCTGTAGACCAGTCAATGAAGTCCGTGAATGGGGGGATAGTTTGTAAAGGATTTTCTTTGGAATTTCTTGGAGAGCTTCCATACCGAATTATCACCAGGCTCCAAGTTTTCCAGATAGTTTTGCCAGTTTAGGTTGTTGATTGCCGAAATTTGTTTTCTAATTTGGTTTGTAAGTTGATTGGCCTGGCGGTTGAGAGAGTTATCAGAGTTTCTTTTTGCTAATCGCTAAATTCTGATTTCAAGAGGAAGGCCGAAAGAGTTTTGTTCGAGTTTGGTTTGAAGATGGTTGCTGTTTGAGTGGCCTCGGTGATTTTTTCGGTGATAGAATTGTTTAGTAAGTTGAGTTCTTGGGGTGAGTTTATTGGTGTGTTTGGGATATTTGTTTCCTGTAGGAAAAATCTGAGGGCGTCCTAGTTTATGTAAGTTAGTGGTTGGAGTGGGTTTTGTATGAAGTTTTCGTTTAAGAGGATTTTGATTGGGTTGTGGTCAGAGCTGAGTGAGTCAGAATTTGTGATTGACAAATTGAGAGCTAGGTTTTTGGACAGAGCTATGTCAAGAATGTCTGGAGTGACATAGTGAAAGTGGGTGGGTTCGTCTGGTGCATGAATTTGTAAGTCTAGTTCGTCGGAAATTTTTAGAAGTCTGCTGCCTTCGAAATTTGTACTTTTACAGCCCTAACTGGAGTGTTTGCTGTTTAAGTCTCCAGCTAGGAGAGTGGTTTCGTTTGGATGAAAAAGGATTTCATAGTCTAACAGGGTGGTTGTCTTGTTTGGAGGTCTGTAGGCGGAGATCAGCTG